TAGGCGTGATGGTCACTGGTACAAAATCCATTAAATTTTGGCTTCATTTAAATATAATTTTCTACTCCTGTTACATGCGTACAGCTTTGTACATTCTCTTTTTGTTAGCTTAAAGCCTAATTTCTTAAAGAAACAAGACAGTAGAAATCTAAAACGTTAAATTCATCAACCTTTTGAATACTGATTCTTTGTATGGGTTGGCACAGGAGTACTAGGTATGATCCATAGAGAGCGCCTTTTAAAATTTTTCATGCCTGAATATACATCTGGAACTATTTGTACTTACTAAAAGTAAAATAAATGCCATAGCATATTATACCATACTTTTTTTCATTTAAAAAAGGAAATTGAAAACACACCACTTCTAGAAATCCTTGACATTGAATTGGCTATTGAAATGGTATCAGTAAAGTATTTATATATTCCATATTTTGTTCCATACATCAGCCTTCCTTGATGCAATAGACTTGGAAACCTGCCACGTAAGCTGAAATTCTGCCATATATGAAAGACCGCCTTGTTTTAAAAATGGACTAAATCATTTAGGATACAGGAAGTGAAGTAAAGCCATTTGAATACATGTACATATCTTTCCCCTTTCCCCTCTCATTCACATGTTGTTTTCTCTCTCTTCCATATTTATTTGTATAAGGTTGGCTATGCTTACAGTAAATACCAGTATTCACCTAACAGCTAAATTCAGTGATAAAAATATCTCCCATCATAAAACTGAATATCTGATGAGAACAGCACAGTTTCATGAACCAAAAAAATCCACAGAAGGAATGTCATAATTTAAAGTTGGTTTTACAGCATTCTTTAATTTTAAAATAGAGCAAAATGCTTCTGTGGTTAAATCACAACTCCTAGCTCTGCTGTAAAAGAGATTCAAGAATGTGTATTTCAGAATGTTTTTTCAGTGTAATCCAAAACAAATGCAATAGATCTTTGCATACTTGAAACATATTTTCTGAATTTATTCTAAGTCTCTCATTGAACCAAAGGCTTGTGTGCATGGATTAGGACTAGCCCATTATTTCACCATCTATCTCCATCCTGAATTGATTGCAATGAACAGTACGGAATGAATTGCAGATGGTCTCCTTTTTCCTTTAGTTTAGAGGACCTTTGGGCTTAAGCCCCATTTGATCAAGGCTAGGTGAACCATTCCAGTCTTGGCTGCTTATGCACATTCTGAAGTAGAAGTGCTTGTACTTGAGAGGTTATTCTCATTACCCACTCAAAGTGTACTCTTAAATTATGTGCCAGGTTTTGAGAGGAGGTGAACATATGGGCTGTACGAAACTTTGTCATGGCTCTGGAGCTATCAAAACTCACCTGGTATAATTTCAAACTTGAATCTCACCTTTAGAAGAATTGGAATTCAGGTTTGCAGACATGGGTTTATTTTTATGCCTTTCCATCAAAATCCTGTGAAACTCATGAAATTAGCTGGTTTTGAGTAAGTCTCTTGAATTTTGATTTGAGGCATGTGCACTTGCATGTAATGAAACTGGAACAAATATGTGTGAATCCTTGAGAGCCATTGCCATTCTGCTTAAGGCTTGGGTTAGATTTTCTCACCACCTCCCTTTATATAGAGACAGACAAAAAATGCATACAGGGCTTATGTGAAAACTCTTGAGTTTGCTTCATTCAAACCCCCAAGTGGCCCAAACTATGAGATTTAAATAAATCTCTGTAGATCTGTAGATACATATAGATATATTGATAAATCTAGAGAGAGATTTAATTTGCCCTCTGTGTTTTTGTTTCATTTATGCAAACAAGAATGTGCAAACTATTTCAACTTCCATTTTTAAATTAGTTTCAGCTCCATTCATTGATCTTTAACAAAGCACCAAATACTGTAATCCTCCTGGTTAGAGTCCCACAAAGTTGGAGCACTGTAGAAGCTGTAGTTTCTGCTTCATTCCCTACCGGACTCCCTCTGTCTTCTGTTAGGATTCATTCTGTTGAGGCTCTACAGGTTTGTGGGTGATGGAACAGCATTAAAGAAACAACTGCTGTATGTTGTATATTCATGGCCCAACTGCTCCTTCATGTGTTCGCCATTCTGTACCAGAGGGTTAGTTAACACTGGCAGCCACAGCATGGCTTTTGGAGGAGTTTTGCTGCCAAAGGGAGAAAAAAGAACGAAGCAAAAAATATTTTCTGGGATAGCTCAATATCAGGTGGTTCTGGGCCTTCCATGCAATTGAACAAGCTTTGCATTCTCATGTTTCCTTTCTTAAGCTGAAAGCTATTCCTCATTGAGGAGGATATGAGTCTTTAAATCTTTCAGGTGAGTCTTCTAGCACTGATAATAGTGTTCATGTTTTTGCCGTTTCATTAATTTGAAAGGAGTTCTGATCCCCTTACAGGAGATAGTAATGTTATAGAATTTTGCAGTAACATAAGCTACATGTAACATTCTAACTAGCGATAAAGGTGTGTTTAAGGACCATAATGCATTAGTGGATAAGAATCACTCAAATGCATCATAATATAATGAAAATCTGAAACTGGAAGAAAAAAACAATGTTCTAGTGCAACTACAATGCCCATTTAAATAACAAAATATAAACCATTCTAGTTAGCTTTTTCAAAGTACTATTTTTTTTCTCTGATTGGAGGCAATTTTTGATCAGTCTTGCTTTTTGGAGCAAAGTAACCAGAAGAATAAGACGGGAGAAAAAAGTTGTGATTGATCACAGTAGCAGAATTGCTTTCAGTTATCAACAGCTAAATTGGGGGATACAGACTGTGCCTGCTCAGTGAGAGCAGCAGACTGTTAGAAGAGTTTCATTCTCTTCCTTTCTTTTTCCTCTACCCACTCCTATCGTGTCCCTGCCTAGGTCTGTGTTCCCACATGCTTCAAATCTGTGTACCTGGACTGCCTTCTTTAACAGTTCAATGTGAGTGTTAGCAGAATGAAAACCAGATGGACCAGCAGTTCCCACTGTTATCTCCCAACCAGCTCTGGCAAGCCTCCCTTTCTCTCTCCTTTCTTGGCATGACAGAAATATTTTCCTTTATTTAGGAAGGCCTGCACTCACTGCTGTGCCTCTTT